TACCTAGGTATACAGCAGTTTCAATCATTCATGTTCACAATTAAGTAATATATAGTACTATTTTTGTAGGAGAAACAGCGACAAATGGAGTTTTTCTATTTGTGGAAGAAGGAAAGGGCAAAAGACGCGTTGCCGTTGAGGCTTGGAGCCGGTAAACGGTAGCCATTTGCTTTGTTTTGTTTTTATACTTGTGGATTCTAGGTAGTTTATAAATAATGTTCCTTTTATTTTGTTTGTTGTTAGTTTTTAATTTATTTTATATTATTCTTTTTAAGAGTTTATATATATTAGCTAATATATACCTAGGTATTTATGTTATTTTAAATTATATAATTTCATATATATGAATAAAAATTTATTTTATTAACACGTTTTTTCATTACATCCAGGTGATTTTACCCCATGTAACATTTTTTCCGATATATAAATGTTACAATAGAAACGTAATTGTAGAGTACAGAAATTGACGTCATAAAATCTGCTAATTCATCACAGTACAGCAACGTTAATTTTGTGACGTAACAATGTTACATCTTTGAAGGCGGACATTAGCAGTCCCCATGACGTTATTAGTACGTTTATGTTACATTAACGATAATGTAACAATGTCACAAGGGACGTTTTTGGAACGTTTAGGTTGCAAGTTCTTGCCATGTGGGTAGATACTGATTAAAATAAATATATTTATAGGACGTGTCTAGGGTCCCCATCGCGGGATCGCTTGAAAAAGTAAAAATCCCGAAGAGGTGTGGCTTAATGACGCTGTTCGGGGCTTTACCAAAGTATTTGCAATCCCGATCTCGGGACCACCGTTACGAAATATAAATACCGAACTCTCATATCGTCACATTCCTGCCAAAAGTCACTAACTGACATTTTTTAAAAAGTTAACAAATTATACTTAACTATACAAATTTACCATATTTTTAATATTTAAAATCCAATAGATGCCTAGAATAATAAAAATTAAACAATAAAATCTTTTTTGCATGGTTAAAAGTCACTATAGTTTATAAACTGATGTAATAGATATATTTATTTGCTTATTTTATCTTGAAGCTCAATAATAAAATGTTAGTGAATTTTGGCAGGGATATGACGATATGTTCTGCGCAGTTATCACGTGTTTGCTAGTGTTTGGTATTTACAGTGTAATGTTAGGTTAGTCAATAGAATTTTTTAAATTGTTTTTTCGGAAAAAAAATTAAGATGTAGTCAAATTATAATGGTATTAAACACAAACGACACGTTTAGTTCGTAGAACTACCGTATGCATTCAAACAGATTGAATCACATCTTAGAACTGCTCAGCTTTCTAATAATTTCTATAAATTTACGAAGCAGGATGAAATTGTTGTTTGCAATCACGAAAAAAACCAACATTGTGTCAGATAGTAGTTGTACAGAAAATCTGTAAATGGGGCATTCCACGTTACTCGGTAATTTTTGTCCCGCCCGTCACAATTAAAAATTGTGAGTAAAAACCACAAGTTATAAAATTAATATTTTATAATATTATTTTTATTGTGCTTATAACTTATTAAAAGCATAATAAAACAATATTTTTAAATAAATTTTATAACGTGTAGTTTTTACTCACAATTTTTAATTGTGACGGGCGGGACAAAAATCCCCGAGTAACGTGGAATGACCCAAATCTTGAGTTATTCGAAGTAAATCTAATTCACAAACGATGGACACGAAACCACATTGAGTCTTTGGCTTCGGAAAGAATGAGTCCTAAAGCCCAAAGCAATGAAATGGAAGACAAGGTTTTGCTTGATGCAAATCAAATATCTATATCTCATGCAACTAGTTCAGCACCTAAAACCTCACCAAAAATTAAAAAAGGCACAGGCTATCTGTGGAACTAGCTACACTATGTAGTGAATTTTCTAATAGTGAATATGAAAAAAGGATGGTCATTTTAAGTACTTTACACACATTGGCAAAAGCATGAAGAAGTCGTCGTTGGTACCCCCATTGAAACATATGGAGTTCAGCATCAAATTGATAAAGAAATGGGGGGAAACATAAACAATGAGCCTCAAATATTTTTTATTGAAAACCAAGAAGATATTGGCCAACTAGTTGTAAATTCAGATAGGCCTGCAAATGTAAATGATGAGATACAAGCATGTTCCCAAGAAGGCACAAGTAAAGTTGGTACTGTGAAAAATATTTCTTTGCCAGTAAATATGTTACTTTTGTAGTAATTGCCTCCCAGATAAAAAGAAAAAAGGAGCGACCAAGTAAAATTTCAAATATCGTTTTCCAATTTAGTTTATTTAGAAATACATCTTAAAATATCTTGAAATTTAACTTTGTAACTACCCAGATGACAACCGTGAGGGGCATCAAAACGCACATCGCCTTCACTTCGTGCGGAGTCATGCGTGCCGATAAAAACGCTGCGATATGACATTAATTTTATGTATAATGGGAATATACGCACGTGATTGGTATAATATATTATTATATTATTATATTATGAGGGCATGAAATGATTGCAAACTTTTCACTTTTCCTAAATAGTTATCGCAAAATTGTAGATGTAATACTAGATCTACACTACATATACAATTTTGCGAAAAATGTTGATTTTACTATTATAGTATATATAGTATATATAGTAATATAATATTAGAACTAAAATTTTCAAAAAATTGACTTACACCATATGGATAATTTGCGAAAAGACTAAATTTGTAGACTGCATTTGTATAAAAAATATACATCATTTTATTTGGAATTCCAAATTGGAATTGATCTTAAGATCAACGAGTTAACACGTTGATCTTAATTTTAATTAAAATTAGATCTTTCTATAAATTTAGACAATTGTCACAAAACTAAAATAAATGACTTAAAGAAAATGATCTTTTGGATTATTACATTTAGACCAAAATTTCGCAATAAATCAATTTTATGAATGATTAACAGCTGGGTTTTGGAGTAGCCTTGTCTTCAGGTAATAACTGAAGAGAATTAATTACTAATCCAAATGTAAGAAAAACAATCAAATTAATGCAATGCAAGTCCAAAATTCACCTGTTAATCATTAATTTCTTCAACCATCACATGTGCTGGCTATATGAATCTCAATTGATGACGCAAATGATGCATATATGCGTGCATACGTGCAAATTAACAATGCAATATGCGTCAATTATGAACATCATAACGTTATCTGGGTAGGCGGCTCCTAGATTGGGATTGCAAACTTTTCGGAAAAGTCCCGAAAGGCATTATTAAACCACATCTCTTCAGGATTTTTACTTTTTCAAGCGATCCCGCGTTCGGGACTGGACACGTCCATATTTATAACATAAAAAATCAAATTTTGACTTATCATCAAATTGGTTACCTGGAAAGTGTATTTCAGGATCTTTATTTTCATCATTATAACATATGGGTTATTACACCAAATAATTATTAGATATTCTCTACATCAAAATAATAACTCATTTAAGATTTGAGCATTTAATTACAATTCTTTTGTAGTGATCAGTTTTCGAATTTAGATGATATTTTGTTTATTTTTCGTTAATTTTTTGGATGAAATATTATAAATAATGTTTTAATAATAATACCTATTGTAAATAATGTTTTATAATAATACAAACAGTACCGTTTTTTCATTCTTTTTTATAGGCAACAGAATACCCTCAAAAATTTAAATAAAGTGAAAAATGGAATTATTTTGGAAAGCTGAGATTTGTTTATATAAAATACAATTAAATATTAAAGTAATTGTTTTTTCAAATAATTCAGGTTATGCATCTGTCAAATGAACGCCAATTTTGTCTTATTTTCTGAAAATAATATAGGTATTTTATTACAAACTTCTTAATTTTTAAAAAATAGGTCAAAATTGGCGTTATTTGACAGAAGCTTAACCTCAATTATTTGAAAAAAATTAATTACAATAATTATAAGTAATTAAGCAATTCTTGCATTATAATTTAATTGTATTTAAACAAAAAATATTACATCGTGAAAAAGACGTTTTGCACAAAATTTTAAATAAAAATTGCCGCAAGGCCAAAAAAATCGCATTCCTAATTTATAATAAAGAATATATATTTTTATTGAAAGCTAATATTTTTTTCTACAAAAAACAGTACCTACTGTTTTCTAAGACCACTATGTAAAAGTCACATTTCATAATGGCATTGTTGTTTAGAAAACGAATGACAGGTCTGTGTGAAAAGAAATTGACAGCATCGTTTGAAATTCAGACGTACAACAGCTGGATTTCTTCGAATTTGCGTGATTTCATTAAAATTTGTACTGGATTTGTATATGCATATACATGTATGTCTAAATATCATTTAGAACACAACTAATTGTGCTTGTATAATAAATTCTAATTTTTAGTGACTTTATTTAAAATGACAAGGTAAGTTTATTGATTTTAAGTAACTTATACCTAGGGTTGTGGAATTGACCGGTCAAATTGTTTTTGGTCAATTGACCAAAATAAATTTAAATAAAATATCAAAATAAATATTACTGTGATTTATTTGTACTTTAAATTAATTAATTAATTAAATATATTTTGACCGGTCAATTGACCATCCCCAACTCTACTTATACCTTAAAAATTAAAAGAATAAAAATAAAAGTAATTTTAACAGCTGTCAAACACGTTTTTAGGTTATTTTGTTTTGTATTTGAAAATAATAAAAAATAAAAGGGTGGTAGAAAAAACATTGTGTTTCACTTGTGAGACAAGCTTTCTTCAAGCTCGTGTTAATGCACACTCGGCCTAACGGCCTCGTGAGCAACTTAAACACTCGCATGAAAAAGTCGCTTTTTAACACTTGTAAATAGGGTTACCAGATTCTGTCAAAAAAATCGGGACTTTTTGTATGAATTTATCTTAACTACAAAATTGACAATAATACAATGCAAATTGTAAGTTTGACGTTACTTAATTATTGTTGTATGTGTCAGTTTTTTAATTAAGTTTACACACAAAATGTCTCGATTTTTTTTTGACAGAATCTGGTAACCCTACAAGTTGTAAAACAAATAACTATTATAAAACATTATTTACATAAAAAAGGTTAAAAAAGGCTAAATTCAAAAAATAGTAATCAAGAATAAAAGCTCAAATCTTCAGTGAGTTGTTATTTTGATGAAGAGAATAACTTCAAAAATTATAAAATATATATTTGGTGGAATGACTTCTACAACCCAATGCAGAACGAACCACAGATCATAAAGGTGGAACAAACTGCCATGGTGGAGCTTCATGGTATTTTAACATAACAAAAACACGAAAAAAAAACTTGGCCTTTAAAGGTTACGACAATGAAATTTAGGTTCAGCTTTTCAACACTTTGCTTCAATACACAAGAGTAGGCGTTACGCGTCCACTGTTAATACGTCCATGAAAACTCTTACAGCAAGAGTATATGATTAGTACATTAAAGGCAGTTAGTAAAAATAAAAACACAAGAACATACTTTATACATCAAGTTTTTAGTTATTTCAAATATGGGATTTTCTATTTATACATATTTTATAAATCAGCCCTTATTTCTCTCTTGTTAATTGAATTAAAGAAATATGACATACACAGTATGTGCAATACATTAACTTTGTTAAATTATAAAATAAAACTAAAAAAGAAACAGATTTTATAAATAACTATATTTTTACAAAAACAATGTAAATCATATTTCGTTAAAATCAACGGCACTAATTAAGATACGTTATACGTAACTAATCTAATTAAATGAATACCTACACATTAGTGTATATGAAAACCTACTCAAAAAAATAAACTATAATTAACTCCTTATTATCTTTGTCTAATCTACTTTCGGTTTCGTAAACGGAAATCAAAAGTACATCAATGTTATTTACTTCTTTTGCATGGTTTAAATTTATTAAAAACAATAAAAGAGAATGAGAAACAAAACTAATTTTAAAGGCACCAAGTCAAAATATGCACATGACAATTTGACATACTAAATACTATACAATTGTATTCATCACATTTTTTGCAGTCTAAAAATGCAACCTTTTAGTTAATTTATTTCGTAAATCCTTGTGGAACTTTTTTTCTGGAAAACATAAAAATTTGTATAAGTAAAAATAAGAGTTTTGAAAGTGTTCCCTTCTCTTAAAAACTCTTAAAACAACTCTTATTAAGTCGTCAAAACTCAGATGTCAGATTAATAGCGAAAGTGTTGTACCTATAGCGATAAAAATAAACATTCAGATTATTTAGAGATGTTGTATTTGGATATTGTAAAAAAAATAAAAATATTTATAAAAAAAATTTCTGTGTTGTTGTAAGCCAAGTTTATTGCAGTTCGTCACAATAACACAGTCAAAACATAGGTATACCTATAGGTACGTCTCACTTGTAGAATACATAAAATGCACTTGTTGAGTACATACAGTGTAATAATTATAACAATTATAATTTTTTGCAATGCATACCACGCGCTAGACTTGCTTTTATTATTGCTACTGTACGTTTTATTTTAGTAGTTTCTTTTTATATGCCCAAATATTCATCTGTCCTATTGTGTACTGGGCGACTGTAAAGGCAATATTATTTTCTAAGCAGATCACCGCTGAGCTTCATGTAGTTAAGGTTAGTACATGCCATGAAAGCAAGTCAAACACATCATACATATGCGTTTCATTATAATTGTTATTACACCTCACGGTGCGTTTTTGTAGATTTAAATAAAAATGTCGAGTTACTCCAATCTGCAAGCTTATTATGTCTTTGGGTGTAAGAAAAAGAATGAGACCAGAAATAAAAAAAATACTACTTTGGCGCTTTTTTACTGGCGGCAATAATACGAATTTTGAAATTTACACTGTTCAAAAAATTGATTTAAGTCTAAATGGGTTTTTTACAGACAAAGAGGTAAAAAAAAACTTTACTCGATTGGTCTAAATTATTTGTAAAGCCTAGGATAATCAACGTTAAACGTCTCGAAACCGAAAGAACCGGAATTTCGCACAGACATGACATTACCTTCTTTTCGCGAAATTCCGGTTCCTTCGGTTTTTATTTTTTGGAAAATGACGTTATCTTGTCCTTTCCGGAAAACTCCGGTTCCTTCGGTTTCTTTATGTTTCGAATTTTGACGTTATCTTCTTCTTTGCGCAAAATTCCGGCTCATTCGGATTCTTTATTTTATGAGAATACAAGTGTTATTATATATGCACATTGCAGATTAATACAATGACAGTTGATATCATAGATGACCAAAGGTTGATATCGAATTGACAGCTATTTTATTAATATTATTATAAAATAGCTGTCAATTTATTAAACAAAAATGCCATCCAACACAACCTCAGAAGTCAAGGCCTATAGCAAAAATGGAAGAAAATTTGAGGCCGCTGATTAAAATGTTATTAAAAGCTGCATATTTTATATAAAGAATCGCTGGCAGGAACACCATAAAATGCGAAAACATTTCAAAAAAGATGTAGGTTTCTAATGAGACTGAAAACAATGCTCTCATCCGCCAAAATCCTTTTGAAACCGCTGTGGCAGCACAAGAAACATTATTTCCAGGATCTCTCAGAACTGCTTAGATGCGAATTCAGTTTGCAAATGAGTTTCTAAATCACACTGAAGATTTTTGGAGTAATGTAGTATTTTTCGATGAAAAGACCTACCATTCATCAAATCGAGTTTACCGTCCAAGAAATCCAAGAGACGAGGATAATTATACGTTGGGAACAAGAAATAGTGAGCTCTTTTCCATCAATGTTTGGCGTGGATAAGCGTTCACGGTCCTAGAATGTGCTGGCTTATTGATGAGCGATTAACAGCTGCAAATTACACAAACATTTTGTTACCAACAGCAAGAAATTTTTATTGACAATTTTACATGTCAACATGTTTTTATTACAGTTTAATTCTCCAGTTTATACGGCTCGAATAGTACGATAGTCTGTCGAAAACCACAATTTAAATGTTTTGGGTTTTTTCGCCAGAGAACCTCAAACAATAATTGTTCGCGGTATGCTGGTATAAAATCCCTTTGAACCATTAGCTGCCACAAAACCCTCTAGTCTTTTGTACATGGACATATCCAAAAGCATTATTATTATTAATGAGAGTATGTAAATATTATATTTTGATTAAAATTAATATTTTAATAGCTGATAAACAAATTTTTTAAACAATAAAATTTCAAAATTGTATTTTTGGCGCCATTAAAAAAGCGCCTAGTTTTTTTATTATTTTTTTTCTCATTATCTTTCATACACCTTCTGGAGACATAATCAGCTTGCAGATTGAAACAACTTAAGATATTTATTTAAATCTACAAAAACGCAGTGTGACCTTGTGACTGTTTTATTGTGGTGAATTAAAATAAACTCGGCTTATATTGTAACATTGCTTCTGATGTTATAAGCCTTATAACAACACAGAAACAATATTTATAAATACTTTTCTTCGTGTTTTCTTTAACAATAACCAAATGCTGGAAGTCTTATTGAGTCAACTCCTCCAGAAGACTCCCAAACCTTGCTAATAGTCTGGCTTAATAAGTCTTATTGCCACTAATAAGTCTTATTTGGGGCTTTTAAGAGAAAGTGTGTTTTAAAACTCTTATTAAAACTTTTTCTCAGTTTTTCAGGGAAAAATTTCCACATGGAAAACCATGCAAAATCGTAAACCTTTGTATTATACATAATTGAGATCATATGCAAAATGGGCCGTTGTAATCTTGCATGTTACACATCACAAAATACTTCCAATAGTATTGTATTTTAAAAATATTTTGCATCAATGTAAAATTGAACACAACCATATTATTTTACGCAGACATGTCTTGTGTATTTGATTGAGAATCAATATTAAGAAAAAAACACATTCATTAAAAACTTATCATCTAAGTTCCTAATGGCTATACTGAAAATGTAAATAAAACATCTTAAAAACATTCATATAATAACACTGGGTCTGTACATATTACTGAATAAATGAATGAGATGCATTTCGATAATCCAGTCAAACAGTTTAATTCAAATTAATACTAAGAATGTCATAAAAGATATAAGTATATTTAAATTAGTCTTAATATTTAAAAATGAACAGTAGTCTATGTAAAGACTGAACAATACATATTACTCATACATGTAATATAGTAATAAGGGGAATCCCATGTGGACACTTTAATAATTAAACCTACATTTAGGCTTCCATAAAAAAATCCCTTATTAACAAAAATATTTAATTTGTTTATTTATTTAACAAATTCATACAAATTTATTAAAAGGCTATTGCAATTTCAGCAATTAAAATTTAAAGTGTCAATTCAATATCTTGAAAGGGGAAATCTATTATACCCAATATTTTATATTTTGTATATTTTATATTTTTTTAAAATATTTTTTTTTTAATTTAATTTAATAAAATCGGATATCAAAAACAATAATTTTACATTCTGAGGCCTTGTAGACCCAACTCATCACATAACATTTTTTTGGTGTCCACAAGAGAAACTTAACTAAGATATATGTGGTTTAATGATGATTGTGATCAAAAACAATTGGCTACTTATTAAGTAATTTTACCTACATAAAGGCAGAGATGGTTAGAGACCTGAGCATTTTTTTTAAATAGCGAAACAACATTTAAACAATACGCCTACTTAAACCTTGCACCTTTGTTTTATTACAGAACAATCAGTAATTTATTTTATGTGTATGTCTTTAAGTATTTAAATGAATGTAATAAAACAAAGTTCACCATGCATGCAATGATAAAATAAACGTTTGAAAGAATGTACGGTCGACTGTTAAGTTAAATATGGTTGTCAAAAACAAAGCAACTTACATTCAACAAACGAAAATCCTTCTAGAGGGAATCTTTTAACTTTAAAGACGACTTTCAAAATTTCAAACTATTGCTTTAAGAACGGGTTGATGGTTTGTTGGAAGTCAACTAAAGGGCGGAGGCGAACGGTTGGGGACGCCCCACGTCAGTTGCCTGTAGGTGGGTTTGGCGGAAAAGGGCACCGTCTCCACCGGCATCACAATTAAGCCGCCGCCCCCCCGCTTCTTGGACGAATACTTGCACACGAAAAAGGTTTTTTGCGGCGATGCTTCGCCGTAATCCTGCTGATGCTGCGCAGGCGTTGTTGCCGACGTTGATATTGTTCGAATCGCTGCTGTTAAAGTTGCTGGTAGGGTCAATGGGGAGTTGGTATTGCTACCTTGGGCGCCTAAGTCTGGCCTTTGTCATTTGTTATTGGCCTGCAGGGCGGAGTTGATTTGAGCCCAGAGGTCTTTCTTGCAGGATTTTGATCTAAAAATAACAAATTTGTAAACTTCCAGATAACATTTGTGAGTTCCGGCGGGTTTTTTACTTCTTGATTTCGCGCTGAAGCCTGTATGAGATCACGCGTGATTTTCTTATGTGCATACAGCAAAATGTATAGATACTCTATCAACTAAAAATATCGATACAAGATTTCGATTATCGGAAGGTAAAATTCTCAAAAATATCGTATCGCGCATCACTAGTTCAAACTACAAAACATTTGTATAATAACTATTATAATCACGGTGCTGTTCTGAGAGGTGATTTTTGGACTTTCTGTGAAACCTAATTTTTTTTATATTCTTGTTAATTAGGTCATAAATAAAATTTTAAGAGCAAAATAAAAAAAATTTGACGGTTTGAATTGTTTTAATTGGCTGTTTATTAAAAATATTATGCACTCTTTCAATTATCCAATTAAACCTAGCGATTTAATTTAAATATTTAATATTTGCATAACTAAAAAAAAAGGTTTTTACATTTTTTTTTATATATTTTACTGTTTTGTTGCAATAAACGTTTAAACTTTTAATCTAACCTTTGACGTATACATTTATGTTCCCTTAATTAATATATCCTTAAAGATGCCATGAAACTTAGATCTATTAAAAATTTATTTGATGTTTGAATTGTCATTTTCAGTATACGTATTCTATAATTTTTGTTTAGTTTTTTAAAGTGTTTTTTATAAACAAAAATGAAAAATTGTAGTAAAAGTTACGAAGAAATTCATGAAATTTAACTAAGGACCGGTTTATTCATCTTTAGTAAAGTTTATCGGGCCGATAACTTTCATGTCTTGGCAATATCTAAGTAGTATCCAAAGAAATTATTCGTCAAATAAATCAAAAATGAATAAATCGGCCCTAAATAAAATGTTGCACCCTTAGAACTATTGTTTAATAAATGTATACTACATTTAACCTTAAATTAAAACTTTAAACGTGTATTACAACAAAACAGTAAAAGATATAAAAAATGTATAGACCTTTTTTTAGGAAATTAACTAATCTTTAATCTGATTTAAAAAGTTATGATAATATTTAAATAAAATCGCAAGTTTTAATTGGAGAATTGAAAGTGTGCATACATATTTTTAATGATCATCCAATTAAAACAAAATTAACCGTCAAATTTTTTTTATTTTGCTCTTAAAATTTTAGTTATGACCTAATTAACAAGAATATAAAAAAAAATAGGTTTCACAGAAAGTCCAAAATCACCTCTCAGAACAGCACCGTGTAATAGGTATTGTCGGGTATTTGTATAAATCAAAACTAAACCTAATATAACAAAATTAAATTTGTTTATGGAGATAACAATATAAAGTAGGGTGTTATTTTTTTCATTTCGAAATTTTATCCATCCTATGTGGTGTGGGTGTGAGCATTAACTTCCGCCGCCGACATTTAGACGTAGTTTCTTAAAATTGTCTTAACACGGAAAACCTACTGCATATTTTAGATTTGATTTTTGTCTAATTTAGAGCAGAACTATTTATTTTTCATAGTGTCATTATTTTTAAATCGATTCAAAATTGATCGTGATAAGGTGTTTTTTAGAGGGGCCCTTCTTTGATACGCCCAATACATAATAAATATGTTCATATAGAAAAAAAACTGCCAACTTATCCGATAACGTTAACTCGAGACGATTGAAAATTTAAACGTATTTTTTTTAAAAATCTTGCTGCATAAGATTGTAATAGTAAAAAAAAATCAAAAAAGTTTTTTTTTAAGTTACCATATAAAATGGTATTATTATGGAAAATTAAAAAAAATAGATTTTAACCTTTTTGATTTTTTTTTAATCAACTGCAGCATTCTAAACAGTATTTAAAAGTAATATAAGGGGCAAAACAAGCCAAGTGTGCCCACTAAAAACTTGTTGTTTATGATTTTGATGAAACTTTGCTAAATCATTGTCCTATCGTACTACTTTAATTAACCAAAAGCGGAAAAGACTGACTGGTTGCAGATATACAGGGGCTTGAAATTTTTCTTTTTCTTTTGTAAGAGTCTTTTGGTTGATAAAAAAATATAAATTACTTTTTTTTTTAATCGACAAATAATAGGTATATCCTATACCTTTTTTTCGTGCTTTAAGATAGAGGTGGTTTCAAAAGCGAAACAAATTTTTTTGGCTAGAAAAAATTGATTTAAAAAATATTTTTACTTTTTTCTCAAAATGGGACCTTTTTGATTTTTTAAAAATAAGTACTAAAAAAGCCTTTTATTTTCCCTAAATTTTGATATATATATATTTAAATGGGATCTCTAAACCAGTTCGAAAATAAAAGCGTTAAAACGCACAGGGATTGGGCATCGACTGGCTCTGTTCGATCCGCTAAATAAATAACTGATAGGTAAATGGTCTCACAATTTTTTTTCAATCATTGGTACATCGGTAGTTTATTATTTAAGTGTTAATTAATGTAAATTGTACACGAAAAATAAACACCTAATTAATAACCTATTCCATTTTGAGTATTTGCATGTCCTACTCAAAATAATGCTATAATTTAATAATTAAAATTTTAAAATGTATTTATAACTTAAAACAATTGACGCGTTTCTCGGAAAAACATCATTAGTCCAAAATTAACATATTTGGGAAAATGAAAAAAACTCTCTGACATTCCCATTTTTGACCAAAGTACTTTATTGACCTATTTACTACATGTAAAAAAATGTAAGATACTTTGTCCAGAATTCCTCATGTTTTTTTTCAAACAAATATGAAAAAAACAAAAAAAAATACATGAACATGTGAGGTTTTTAGAAGAAAAAAACGAACAATTCTCCTTACTACAAACACTACAAACTAAATATTAACTCTGAGCAACAAAATAAATGAAAAACTAAAAACTGTATTATGGCCACACTCAGTATTCGCATCCACTGCTGTTAGACAACGATGATATCATCGTTGTCGACCGTGTTATCAGTCAGGTGCTATGGTCTTCTGGTCTTTTATCAAGTTATCATAAAATTTTCTATTGCTGTGGTCATGTAAAAGAGGTAGAAGCTTTTCTAGAGTGTCCAAAAACGTCACATGATATGCACATGTGACTTTCTTAGACGAAACGGAGTGGGCTTGTGATGTTTTTAGAAGAACAAGCTAAATTTCATATTTAATTATTATGGAACCTATGACATTTTTACGAGAAACACTTATTTGTATACGTATATATGGAGGTTACGAAACAGTTGGTGCTAATATCTAAATTTCGACGATATTGGACTAATGATGTTTTTCCGAGAAACGCCTCAATTTAGTTATAACTTAAACATTTAAAAATAAATTATTTTATTTTTTTAGGAAAAACAGAATATTCGGAAACAAACAATATTTTTTAGTAGTACAGTAGGTGCTTCTTTTTCGGCCGGAACGAAAAAAATTTTGTTTCGCTTTTGAAACCACCTCTATCTTAAAGCACGAAAAAAAAGGTATAGGATATATTATTTGTCGATTAAAAAAAAAGTCATTTATATTTTTTTTATCAACCAAAAAACTCTCACAAAAGTAAAAGACAAATTTCAAGCCCCTGTATATCTGCAACCCCTCAGTCTTTTCCGCTGCCCTTTTGCTTAATTAAACTAGTCCGATAGGACAATGATTTAGCCGAGGATTTAGCAAAGTTTCATCAAAATCGGAAACAACTTATAGTCCAAGATCCCAGGGCCGCCAGACCTACGTCATTTTAATACTGCTGAGATTTTTTTAATAAATGCCCTAATATGTAGTTAAAAACGTATGGGTACTTGCTAGCTTGAAAGCGGGGCCCTTTTACAGATAACGGGCACTAAAGGTACATAAAAAAGGTACCTGTCTACGTTAAAGTAATACCGCTGGTTTTCATATATGTTTTACACATTGTTATTAAAAACCAACATTCATTATTGCCAGACGCTTTCCAGGGGACCTAACTTCCGCCAGACGCTTTAAAGCTCAAGAAAAAAGGGCTGAACCTACGTTATAGTAGTACTCCTGAATTTTACATATATTTTTTGAGTGATTATTTTAGGACCTTTTGTAAGCAGCCAGACCAATCCGAGGGGCCCAAGCCCCCCCCAGACGCTTTAAAGGTCAAGAAAAAAGGGGGGAACCTACGTTATAGTAGTACTCCTGAATTTTACATATTTTATTTGGTTGACTATTTTAAGACCTTTTATAAGCAGCCAGACCAATCCGAGGGGCCCAAGCCCCCCCAGACGCTTTAAAGGTCAAGAAAAAAGGGGGGAACCTACGTTATAGTAGTACTCCTGAATTTTATATATATTATTTGAGTGACCATTTTCTGATCTTTTGTAAGCAGCCAGATCAATCCGAAGGGCCTAAGCCCCCCCCAGACGCTTTAAAGCTGAATAAAAAATGGAAAAATCTACGTTATAGTAGTACTTTTGAGTTTTACATATTTTATTTGGGTGATTATATTAACACCTTTTATAAGCAGCCAGACCAATCCGAAGGTCCCAAGCCCCCCCCCTGGCGGTTTAAAGGCCAAGAAAAAATGGGAGAACCTACGTTATAGTAAAACTTCTAAATTTTACATATATTATTTGAGGGACTATTTTATGATCTTTTGTAAGCAGCCAGACCAATCCGAAGGGCCTAAGCCCCCTGAATATTTTATATATTATTATTATATATTTATTATTATATATTTTAAGACTTTTTGTAACTACCCAGACCATTCCAAAGGGCCTAACCACGCCCAGACACGATAAAAGGTACGCTGTGAGTACGAGAGCAAGGCATGCATGTGAGTGCGAGTGATAGTATTAGATGGCTTTATTAGACAGCTTCATGAAATTTAAGTTGTGTATTTGTCTTTATGGAATTTTTTAATAATGACTTAATAATATTTAAATTCTTGTTATAAAATTAGTTTTAATTAAATTATTCAAAATTTCAAAAAATTTCATAATTTCAAAGTTTTCTAAAATTTTTCATAATTCCCTCACTAAACTTGTACCAACCAGGATAAACAATGGCACTTAAAGGTGTTAAAATAGCCTCCCAAATAATATATATACATAATAATAATAATAATAATAATAATAATAATTTTTTGCCCAACAGAATAAAATTCCAATTACAGGACAAATTAAATGAGTAACACTTAATAAAAATGCCTAATAAAAAAATATAATAAAATATGAGAGAACAAAAAAAAAAAATAAAAATAAAAAAAACTACTTAATAACTACTAACAAAAAAATAAAGAAGCTACAGAATACAATATTACAGCCTATGATCTTATAAGGTATACTTTTTATCGTGTCTGAGGGGGGTTAAGCCCTTCGTATTAATCTGGCTGCTTATAAAAAGTCCTAAAATAGTCACCCAAATAATTTATATATAAAATTCAGGAGTACCACTATAACGTAGGTTCCCCCCTTTTTCCTTGACCTTTAAAGCGTCTGGGGGGCTTGGGCCCCTCGGATGAGTCTGGCTGCTTATAAAAGGTCTTAAAATAGTCAACAAAATAAAATATGTAAAATTCAGGAGTACTACTATAACGTAGGTTCCCCCCTTTTTCCTTGACCTTTAAAGCGTCTGGGGGGGCTTGGGCCCCTTGGAGTCTGGCTGCTTATAAAAGGTCTTAAAATAGTCAACAAAATAAACTATGTAAAATTCAGGAGTACTACAAAAACGTAGGTTCCCCCATTTTTTCTTGACCTTTAAAAGGTCTGGGGGGCTTGGGCCCGTCGGATTGGTCTGGTTGCTTATAAAAAGTCTTAAAATAGTCACCCAAATAAAAAAAGTTAAATTCAGGATTAGTACTATAACGTAGGTTCCTTTGTTTTTTCTCGAGCTTTAAAGCGTCTGGGGGGGCTTAGGCCCTTGGATAGGTCTGGCTGATTACAAAAGATCTTAAAATAGCCAATTAAATAGTATATATAAAATTTAGGAGTACTACTAGGTATAACGAAGGTTCCCCCATTTTTTCTTGACCTTTAAAGCGTCTGGGGGGGGGCTTGGGCCCCTCGGATTGGTCTGGCTGCTTATAAAAGGTCTTAAAATAGTCAACCAAATAAAATATGTAAAATTCAGGTGTACTACTATAACGTAGGTTCCCCCCTTTTTCCTTGACCTTTAAAGCGTCTGGGGGGGCTTGGGCCCCTTGGATGAGTCTGGCTGCTTATAAAAGGTCTTAAAATAGTCAACAAAATAAACTATGTAAAATTCAGGAGTACTACAAAAACGTAGGTTCCCTCATTTTTTCTTGACCTTTAAAAGGTCTGGGGGGCTTGGGCCCGTCGGATTGGTCTGGTTGCTTATAAAAAGTCTTAAAATAGTCACCCAAATAAAAAAAGTTAAATTCAGGATTAGTACTATAACGTAGGTTCCTTTGTTTTTTCTCGAGCTTTAAAGCGTCTGGGGGGGCTTAGGCCCTTGGATAGGTCTGGCTGATTACAAAAGATCTTAAAATAGCCAATTAAATAGTATATATAAAATTTAGGAGTACTACTAGGTATAACGAAGGTTCTCCCATTTTTTCTTGACCTTTAAAGCGTCTGGGGGGGGGGCTTGGGCCCCTCGGATTGGTCTGGCTGCTTATAAAAGGTCTTAAAATAGTCAACCAAATAAAATATGTAAAATTCAGGAGTACTACTATAACGTAGGTTCCCCCCTTTTTTCTTGACCTTTAATGCGTCTGGGGGGGGCTTGGGCCCCTCGGATTGGTCTGGCTGCTTACAAAAGGTCTTAAAATAATCACTCAAAAAATATATGTAAAATTCAGGAGTACTACTATAACGTAGGTTCAGCCCTTTTTTCTTGAGCTTTAAAGCGTCTGGCGGAAGTTAGGTCCCCTGGAATGCGTCTGGCAATAATGAATGTTGGTTTTTAATAACAATGTGTAAAACATATATGAAAACCAGCGGTATTACTTTAACGTAAAAAGGTACCTTTTTTATGTACCTTTAGTGCCCGTTATCTGTAAAAGGGCCCCGCTTTCAAGCTGGCAAGTACCCATACGTTTTTAACTACATATTAAGACATTTATTAAAAAAATCTCAGCAGTATTAAAATGACGTAGGTCTGGCAGCTCTGGGATCTTACTCTATTAAGTTTTTAGTGGGAACACTTGGCGTGTAAAGTGAATTAAATCACAAACATTTTTTTCATTTAAAATATTGAATTCAACAAATTAAAATTATTTAGGTTTAACTACACTGAGAAAAAAATGGGACAAATAAACTGTGTATCTAATACTTTTATTAATAGTGAATATATTGTTTATTACCTCTAAATAGTCGAAATAATAACGATAAATATACTTTAGTAAAACTTTATGTGTCGGGAATAAAAATATATTTAGGATAAATAAACTGTACCCTTGTCCCATATTTAAATATTTTTTTTTATTTGGGAGCAATAAACTTTTTTCTCAGTGTACAGTTGATTATTTAAAATAAGTTTGACTGTGGTATTTTAATGGCTTTGAAGTTGTTAGTATCATCATTTTTATCACTCTTATGTTATCAATTTTTATATAAGTCTTACCTTCTGATCGACTGTAGCCACTCCTTGAACTGCGCGGTGCCGTCAGGGGTAATTTGGAAAGCAGCCCTTGCCGCACATACGATTGTTACGAAATCCTCGTAATCCGCTGGCGTAAGATGATATAGCTTCTGATGCAAGCACTGGATGTACATTTGTTGGCATTTTTGTACCAGAGGGGTGAGTGCGGTGCGCAGATGTTGCATAACCAAACCCGGATTGTTACGGGACAAGTACTGAGCCGCCTCGATGGCCACGTCGTGCAAAACAAACGGACTTACGATGGAATTGACTGCGCACACGCAGAAGTGGTGCAAGTACTGAGTGCCTAGATGTTTTGATATGCGTAGCAGCCACTTGACGTCCTCGCCGTAAGGAGGATTCCTTGCGTATTTCGCTTGCGGTCTGTCATCGTGTACCCTTCTGGCCAAGGTTTCCAACGCCAACATTCCCACCCTGTACGAGGTGAGTAGGTAGCGCAACTGCGTCTGGTTAAATTGATGGGGCCTGTGTGCTCGAGCGGCAACCGCCACGTTTTGTTGTTGAGGCACCTGCGCGGCCGCAACCATACCTGGAGGCGGTTGTACCGGTGAGTACATGTGTGTCGGAGGAGGCCGCATACTCAGAGCAAAATCTAAATAAATATAAAATACATGTGTGCTTATTATAATACCACACAGCTAAAGTGAAAATGCTTTTGGACAATTTAATTATATTTGAGTTTTGTTTTTAAATCAATAATCATTATGTACACTGAAAAAAATTTACGAAATTTTACACATCCAAACACACATTTATTTCTGTTTTTTTACTTAAGAAATGTGTTGTTCCATATAAAACATGTACACACATACTTACATAAGTAAAATAGCATCAATTTATGTATTTTTTTAAATTAATATGTAGTTTTTCATATTATTATGTAATAAATCCTTAAATTTATGTGCTTTTACAATTTTTAATGTACTTGTACTATAATTTTCCTAAATTTTACATTTACATGACCTTTGCATTTTTACACATTATATGTAGTTTTACAGTATGTTTGTACATATACATTTAAATACGTGGCATCAAAATAACCAACGATCAGGTGTGTAAATTTACTAAATATTTTTTTGAGTGTATGTTATATTGTTTGTGTTTCCTTAAAGAATTCAAAATTTTTATTTGGTAACAATTCAGGGCCGTAGTTGTTTCTGCTGCCAGGGACATGGTCTTCATAGCCATAGGCAACATAAGATTAAAGCTAATACCGAGGCTAATACTAGCATTTATGTTTATACATGTTTTTTGTATATAATTTTTGGTTGGGTATAATTTGAATAAATTCGCAGAAACGTGGATACAATTGATTTAAATTCTGTCAAATCAAAAGGGGTCGAGTTAATTAAAGAAATGGTGCACCTGACTGTTTTTAATAAATCGTTTATAAACTTGCTTTTTAAAAAACAATACATATTCTTTAAAATGTTTAAGTTTTTGGAAATACCTTTTTACAAAGTACCCTATTTGGTACCATGCTATGCCATCATGGGAGGCAGTGGCGGCTGGTGGATTTTAAGTATACCAATATCTCAGTTATTAGACATGGGACCCACACCAAATTTATAATAGTTTATATTGACATTAAATAAACAAGTTCGGCGCAAACAGAATTTAAATTGAAGTTTGCGAAAAAAAGTTAGTTTTTCCTGTCGCCCACCCTGCCTCCAGGCCCCCCTATTTGAGATAATTCAAATTAAAGTGGTGCAATTTATTATCCACTATAATTTATCGACAAATTTAAAATTTTATTTAAAAAATCCAAATATTACAGTTTTTATACCATTTTAAATATTTTTTTATTTTAATAAAATAAATAATAAAAATTTAAAATCGAATAAAATCTGTAATATTTGGATTTTTTGAATAAAAATCCAAATTTGTTGATAAATTATAGTAGATAATAAATTGCACCACTTTAATTTGAATTATCTCAAATAGGGGGGCCTGGAGGCAGGGTAGGCGACAGGAAAAACTAACTTTTTTTCGCAAACTTCAATTTAAATTCTGTTTGCGCCGAACTTGTTTATTTAATGTCAATATAAACTATTATAAATTTGGTGTGGGTCCCATGTCTAATAACTGAGATATTGGTATACTTAAAATCCACCAGCCGCCACTGATGGGAGGGCCAACTTTTCTTTTGATTTTTTTACAATATAACTTTGTTTTTAAATTAAAATAAATCTAATATAAAAAAAATTGCTCAACTATGGGATTTAGGGAGTTAAACGCAAAATAAAACAATAAAAATCAAAATAAAAAATGTCAAATTTATGTTTAAATAAAAATTCTAAAAAACTGAAATTTTTTATAAATAATTTGAAAAAATGTCTCGATTTGACAGTTTTTGAAAGTTAAAAAAAGCACAAAATTTTGGGTACGTAAACAAAATTTGAAAGAGTTTACAGAAACTTTTTTCAGTCAAAGGGGTAGATTTAGCGTGAAATGACCCATATTTTAGTTTTTATTGTGCAAGAAAACAATTATTTCTAATTTGCTTTATTAAATGCAAAATAGTTCAATAAATTTAAATATAAAATGGCGAATTTATTGTTTTTGCAAAAAATCTGAAAAATTTGATGAATAATTGAAAAAAAAAGTCTCGATTTGTCAGTTTTTGAAAAAGTAATATGCTTTTGAAAAAAAGCACCAAATGTTGTGTTTGTAAACAGTTATTTCTTAAACTGCTTTATTAAGTGCTGTAATAAAAAATTTACTAAATTTTAAATTAGTTTAAGTCTCTGCCAGGGCAAAGGTTTTGCCTTTCAGAGTGGTGCCCTTATTCGCCCTGTAACAATTGTATCTAATTGATTTATTTTTATCAGTTACATCAGAAATTGTGACATTTAATTCAAAAGGATTATGGTATAAGATAAATAAATTGTCCTCAATTAAGCTTTTAAGGGTTTTGAGCTTTTTTAAGCTTATATGCTTTTTTAGCTTGAAACTAAAAAAAATGGTAATTTTGGATATAAAAAAAGTATTGGAATATTTGAAGTTTGGAAAATTTTAAAATTTTTGAAAGTTTTAAGATTGTAAAAGTTGGTTCCACCATTTTTCAATTTATTTTGCTGTGTGAATTTTGTTCAAATATTACAATACGACGCAGGTATGCGCGCGCGTTTTCCTTTTGATCTTTCAAGTTTTGGTTTACCCCACTTGCAAAGAAGTTTCACTTTAAAAATAAGTTTAAATATTACTCCAATAATTACCTTGCACTGGTTGTGCTATGGTGACTGCAGGTCCGTAGTACTGCAGCTGACCTGGTGGAGGTCCTGCCGCCTGCGGTTGGTTGTTGAAAGGTGGGGGCTGTTGCGGAGGATACTGAGACGGAGCAGTGGTTAACGCCGCTTGTTGTGGAGGCGGCAGCGATTGATACGACGTGGGTACCGGCGTGAATGGTGGAGGAGCATTAGAAGCATTTGGAGGTGGGTAGGGGAACTGATACATCTGAACATGAGCTGGCGGAGGGAGCTGGTGCAGGGGGTGTAAAGGGCCCCCATAACCTAGCTGCTGGTGAGGATGCGGGACGAAATTGTAGTGGCCAACAGCGTACATACCTACCGGTGCAGCGTGCTGTAAAATAAAATTAAAAAAAAAATAATTATTTTACTTTACATTTTTAATTTAATTACATACCGTATAAGGTGGTGGTGGAGCAGTTGTAACAACTACCTGTTGCGCTTGTGGAGGCACTTCTTGGGGCACGGGTTGCTCAATGAGAGCCACCAGTGCACCATGCGGATCCATTATCGGACCATCATGGGACATTTCATTGTCCAGCAGCTGATCGCCACCGGGCGTATGCCTAACGTATAACTCGTACCAGTACTTGGCCACTTGAAACAGCACTTCTGGATAAACTCCGCCTCCCTTAGCCGCTGATTCGACTGTGAGACAGGCGTGTTCCAGCATATCGTCGCTTTGTTCCTTACACTGAAGAATTGCACGTTGTATTTCGTTCGGATTAAGGGCATGTGAATGTGGCAAACAAGACAAAGCCAATTCGGCCGCCGCTCTGACCATATTTAGATCACAGCCACGAGAGGCTCTGTCAGCAATGCTGGCGGCCTCTGGCGGCGTCAAGTGTCCCTCCCACGTATCGATTAAAAATGATATAGCTGAAGCTCCGATCTCCATTGCTTGACCTAATAAACAAAATTTATTGTCCAAGGTATTCTTTTAAATCAAGTGGTTACATACCTTTCTCCAATGAAAAAAATAGTTTTTATGTCTCTCCAATACTACCTTTTAAAATTATAATCCTGCAAAAATTATTTAAAAATTCAAAATTTATAACGAAAAATTGCCATGAGGCTGGGCTTGAGAAGTTGATGAGGATGATGGTGATAAAATAGCCATTATATGGGCCGGGTCTCGATATTGCATGTACTTCAGCATGAACTCACTACCAACAGGCAGAATTTGAACGTGTTTTCCGGATCAATGGCATGCTAGAAACAGATGTTGGATTCATTCTTAAGAATGAATCCAACATCTGTTTACAATTAATTAATTCTTGACAAATCTGGTGTCACGATCTCTCTTCAAGGTTATCGAAGCGTTTTAAATGCTGCGATTTTAAAACGCTGCAGCGTTCTCAAAAATTGTTTAAGAATAAAAAAACTTGTATACGTAGATTGCAAATATGCAATAAAAAATTGCACCCCATTATCTAGGAAATATTTTTTCGATGTTTCTTTATTTGAAGTCGATCGAGTGAGAGATATTTTCTTTCGAACCGGATACAATGAGTGACTTTATAGAAACAAAATAAAAATCGCTTGGGTACAATATTTGGCATTTCAATAAGTAAAACTGTTTGAAAGGAGTGCTAAACGCCAAACTTGTGCAGATGAAAAAGAAGAAAAACGTACATGTATACTGAAGAAGACAAAAACAAGAGATAAAAGAAGAAATAAAACAAAAGGGACTATTGATAAAAGTGATACCTGAGTATCATAGTTAACTCTGAAATATAATTCGCAATTTACCAACAATCTTACATTTAAATTTAAGATTGAAAAAAAAACATTGCAGGGAAGCAGGCTAAAGTACAAACTAACAATCGCCTTAAAGCCATAATCACAAGAAGACAAAACAAACTAAAAGTTTCAGTCACCCATAATTAAATAAACACCTACTCATCAAGGGCAATATTTTCACCTGTTGACAAGTTTATTAATGGTCAGTGGGGTAAATAATAGAATATCTGTTCTCTAATTCTTTTCAGGTAGCAAAATAAGTCGGTATTTAGATTTAGCCATTCAAAAGTTGTTGCGGATTTTGAACAACCACTGAGTCACAGACGTCCAAGACGCAGCACTTGACGCAACATTTGGGTCCCCGCAGCTAACTAACAGCTCCCCAGCTGTAGGAGTGGACCCCAATTGGTTGTGGTAAATGCTCTCCCAGGTCTGGGGTGACACGGATACAGAGGATCCAGAAGTACACGAATAGGAAAGTTAGGCCCCCTACAGCTAATAATATTGCACTGGCCTAGGGGGTTTCCGCGTCTTACACAAGATTGGGTCGGCGTAACGACCTCTGAAAACCAAACTGTCTCGTATGTTTATGTTCATATTTTTATTGGAAAAACAAATAAAAATGTAAGAAAAGATTAGTTTAATCTGTGGTTTAATCTATCTAATTTAACAAATTGTTGTTTTTTGTTTTGGATGAACCGCAGTTATCTATGTCACCGTCAAAACACGTTCGCGAAGATAAAAGAAATCAATTATTGTAATTATTCCTTTCACAAATTAATAAATTGCAGATACATTAAACATAATAAGACATAAATTTTATTTTTTTTTATTTAATACAAACAAAAATAATAGGTTAGTTGTGATTGGAGAAAGATATGTAACCTCTCAAAAGCGTTTTAATTTATTAATTACCTGTAATCCATGATACATGAGATGAATACGTTCTACTCAACCAATTTGGACTGACGCAATTATGTAAGCCTAATGCATAAAGTCCCAACTGGAAAGCACACATATGAAGTGCTCTGTGCGGTCCATGGTGATTTTGGCTGGTGGAAGGTTGGGTGAATAGTGAAGTACTACTAGTACCCCCAGCTTTGTTTAAAACAGTTTTTGCCAGTTCAAACATAAAGTGAGCGCCGGCTTCAGAAGGTTGATTGGGTATCGATGGATATGCCCTTTTACCTTTGTAACGACTCTCTTTTGTTCTTGTAATGGCTGATGTTGATTGTGCGGGTAAATTACCTTAATAAAACAATCAACATGAAAAATGTATACAGTGTGTCTACTTAAGTTGACAACATATGGGAAACTTTATAATTATTAATTTTACAAAGAAAAGTTATTCTTTATAAAAACTTCTGCATGTTCTAAAATCTAAAATAAAATCATCAGATATCAAATTTTTTTATTCATATACGGGTTTGACAAAAAATATTATTTTGGTAAAAGAGTTATTTGTGCCAATATCGAAAACTGTAATTATGAAAAGTTGTTCAGAATGAAAAACTATGTTTTAATATGCTATAACATCCTTCTAATTAAATTTTTTGTTTACAAATATTTCTCAAATTACCGATACGAACATTTATCTTTTTTATTTATTACAAACATGATTTTTTCTATGACCACTATGTAAAAGTCACATTTCGTAATGGCATCGTTGATTAGAAAATGATTCTTTTCATTGGCAAGGCAAAACACGAATGTAAAGTGAAATTTCTGTGTGAAAAGTGACAGCATCATTTGACATTCGTTTCAAAATTAATTCATAAATGGCGCGAATTTGGAAGAATCTTCTTTACCATTTTATGAAATCATCTTTTAATAGGTTAAATATGATACTACAAAGTGATCTGTCAATTAGTCTGTTTTTGACAGTACGCCAAAGTGAACGTCTCGTGTATTTTGTAAACAATGGAAAAATTGAATTGCAAGCACTGATAAAGCACTTTAATTTAAAAGGCTTAACACCAACCGAAATTAAAGCAGAGCTGGATTTAACACTATTTGAGTCCGCTTCTTCGTTTTTAATGGTTAAAAACTGGGTTGCCGAATTTAAACGTAATCGTACGAGTACAAATGATGAACCCCGTAGTGCACCATATCGTATTGAATGACCGTCGAGTACATAGAAAAACCATGGTCGAGTAAAAGTGCGCAAGATAGCAGACATAATGGGTATCTCAAATGACAGTGTGCACAGAATTTTAACCGAAGAATTGGAAATGAAAAAATACTTGGCGCGTTGGGTGCCGCGATTGCTTGCACCGCGGTGCACTGGAGCAAAAACTGAATCGTTTGAGTGTGTCTCGCGACCTTTTGAGACATTTTCGCCACGATTCAAAGGAGTTTTTGCGTCGTTTCATAACCGTCGATGAAACCTGGGTCCACCATTGTACTCCCCAAAACCAAATAACAGTCCAAACAATGCTTTATATAGCTATTTCGAGGACTTGGATTCATCGGCCTACAAGGAAGGCATTGCTAATTTAGAATATCATTGGGATAAGTGTGTTAAGGGAGCTGGAGACTAAATTGAAAAATAAAATGTTTTTTGTCCAAAAAAATTTGCGTTTTCTTAGTTAGGCCACGTAGTTACCGAACGATCCTCGTAGAACACAATTAATTGTGTTTGTACAATAAATTCTAATTTTTAGTGCCTTTATCGAAAAGTTGTTGCAAAAGTTGGAAAAGTTAGTAGGTGGGAGAGCCAATGAACAATAAGTTGACTTCTAACCAGTGTTTCCACTACAATAATTTGATAATTTGGTCAAAATTCGATATAAATCGCTAGATTTGAAGTGTTTTCAGTAAAACGTGCTAAAATCATTGTTTTTGGAATAACATTCTGTGGAACTTTATCAAAAATGGTGTCTGCATGCAGCATTTTTTATTATAGGAAGATTGTTTTATTTTAACGTATTTAAGTTGCTAAAATTCATACAATAAGAATATTTGGGTCACGTATTTTGAATTATATCGTCAAAATAAGATAAATATTTAAAATTGAAAAAAAAACAAGCAATAAAACTCTTAATTAAAAAAATAAACTAAAATGTACCGAAATGAAATCGGTGGAAAATAAGGTATTTTTGGTAAAGGCTGCCAAATCGATAGATCTACCGAAAAATCGGTAAAAGTGGCAACGGCTTCTAAATGCTATTTTTGCTTCATATTTTTTTGTATTTTTTTTTTCAGTCACGTTCCAGCACTTGACATGGTAGGACGCATTGTAGCAGTGAAAGCTCTTAAAACGTAAAACCCAAAACCAACAAATAATTTCTGAAAAGTGCAAAAAATTACAATGTAACAACTACAGTGAGTATAGACTACCCTACGGTCAAGAATGAGTTAAGTGTTAAGTGAGCTTCGGGGCGGTCATACCACCCCTCAACTGGACGCTTTTCACTGGACAAACAAAAGAAGACAAAACCAACAAATAATTTTCATAAAGTGCAAACTAATATAGTGTTACAGTCAATAAAGAGTGAAGTGTTATATAAGATAAGAAAGAGTTAAGGGACAAGTGTCAGCTTCTGTGCGGTCCTACCACCTGTCATTGGACGCTTTTCACTAGACAAACAAAAGAGGTCAAACAAGAGGGGAAGAGGCCATCCGCAAAAAATTGATAAGTATCCTCAACCACATGCATGACCTAACACATAATTTGCAAACTAAACAGGACAGATACCTTAAAAAAAGAGAGGCACACTGCATAAACCCAAGAAAAAAAACAATAAACATCAGTAACAATAGAAACATTAGAAATACAATACTAACCAAACACCATAAAGTAATAAAGAAAAGAAAAACAACAAAAAAAACAAGACTTCCCATTCGAACCTATCGCGGACATACACCAAAGCTAAGTAGGACAATAAATCTGTCAACAACAAATGCGTAAGGCATGAAATCCAGTAACTTAAAAAACAGCCCCAACAAAACAAAGTTTAATTTTAACCCGAACGAGACCAATAATAAACACTTGACACTTAGAACATAGACTAACACTCAATAAATCAAGAAACCCAAACATAGTAAAAAAAGCATACTAATAAAAAACTAATGGATTTTGTAAACACATTAGATTATAAAGTATAACAGAATAAGTACGTATGCCATTTGTTTAACTAATAAATAAATGCAATACTTAATTTTGGAAATTAAGAAAAAAAAAGACAAAATACAATTCTACCACAAAACGTGCTTTGGCAACACAATAACTAAAAATTGCTAGAAATTTCGCACTACTGCAGTAATAAACATTAAAAAAAAAACATCAAAAGCTACATGTTACATATCCGACTACTATCTATTGATGGATTTCGGCCTCAAGACTAAAGATTGCTTCGCATAGTGGGGCAGACAATCGACGGTTCCCGAATTTTCAGCAGACAAGGCCCGACTTGGCGACACATGTGCAGGAACAATCCAACTTGGACACGGACACGAACGATACTAACAAAAACGTAGACCAAGACGTAGGCTCCTGCAGCAAAATAACAACTCCCGAATTCCATACAGTAATCCCAAATGTTTGGAGTAATACTGCCTGGTCTAGGGGGTACCGCGTCGTACTTAAATTTGAGTCGGCGTAATTGTCACCCAAACACCAAAATATCTATCCTTCCCGTCCTACCTCCTTCATGACCCTACTGGGCGTATAGCATCGGCTCGGCGAACCCGGGAATGGAACTAAAACTATTGGCATTTCGCTCTCGAGCCCTACACGGGAGAAGCCGTGCCGTTGCTGGTGGCGAAAGAAAATCGGCGCAAGGAAACAGAGGCCTATGCGGGGCCCGGGAGCGATGAGGCAATGGGGCCGGTTATACGTCTGTTATACTCATACTATTTTTTTGTAATTTCGTAAGTGCATTTTTTATGATGTGTATAAATTTTTATTCTTTTTTTACTCAAAAAATATCATTTTGTTAACTCATTAGATTGTCCCATTAACAAAACCTAGTTTATTTTTGTTGTGATTATGTTGTCTGTTCATTTTATTTTGTTTGTTATTTGTTTCTGTTGTTGTTATTAACAACTTGTTACATATTATGTTGTATACATAAAAAATAAATTATTATAATAGATTTCACAAAATAAAACTCAACTCAACTCAAAAATTAAAAGATGAAAGTAATTTTAACAGCTGTCAAACGCGTTTTTAGGTAAATTTGCTTTGCATTTGAAAATAATAAAAATAAAAGGGTCGTAGAAAAAACATTGTTTTACTTGTGAGAAAAGCCTGACGGCCTCGTGAGCAACTTAAACACTTGCATGAAAAGGTCGCTTTTTTCCATATAAATGGAAGTAATTGCATATTTAAACGTAGTTTTTAGTTATGATCAACTTTTTTTAATAATAATTTTCGATATTGTCAAATATAAAGGTATATATACTTTATATACTTTACTCTTGAGTAAGATTAATATTTTTTGACAAACCACATACACGACTGAATTTTTATTCTGATGATTGTATTTTAAATTTTAGAACATGCAGAACTTTTTATGAAGAAAAACTTTTTTCTTAAAATTAATAATAAAAAAGTTTTCCATATGTTGCCAACTTAAGTATATTTTTTAAATTAATATTTTACCTGGTTGATTGCCAAGTGATAGGTTGCCCATGCTTTGTTCCACTTCGGCGCTCGTCGAGCTGTGCGGTCTACTGCAGGAATTAATGTCCGTCGTCAAAATTTCCGCCGGTGGTAAAAATGGACTCAACGGAGTGATGACTTTGTCGCAATCTTCGCGTTTCAGGTTCGTAAATTGGCTCTTGATGGGCGGATTACTCGAATAATACGAACTCATGATCGGCGACTTGAGGAGTTGATGGATTTCCCTGTCGAGCAGCCTGTCCATAATCCGAGCGACCTTCCAGCAATCGTCCTTGTAAAAGGTCAAAAGGGCTATGGCGAGGTCGCCCCGCTGCCTTCTCGTACCTTCGCAGAGTAGAGGATGATCGGCCTCCGATACGTTGGCTTTCAGTCCTAAGGCCGCAACTGCAGCCTCAAAACCCAAAGGCTCATCGGATGGTAGCCTCATATTCATGATCTTCGATCTATCTCTGCCCATCACAGTTGGAATTACCAAAGCGTCGAAAATAAAGCTGGCCAGCATGATGGGTAGCATTGCTTCCCCTCTAGATTTCAACGTGCCATCCTTAAGATGCTCGGCTCGTTCCCTTAATATTTGCAACTCCTTATGTCCTAACGGTATTCTCTTTAATAAACTAACGAGATCAGTCTCTTGGTTGGCTAACTTCACCTCCAAAGGTTTAGTGCTAGCCGGCGGTCGGGCCATTTCCAATCCAAACATACCGACCCTGAAAGCCAAATGGGAATGCTCGCTATTTTCTGCGAGTACGGAGCAGAGAAAAGCGCACTTGGCCAAAGTACCCGACGCCAAACAACTTAATTGGTGTGTCGCTGGGTTCACTTGTTGTTTCTTGCCTTTCCTCTTCGGGATTGGCGGTATTTCGATCATTAGATCTGGTGGATGTGCCAACAATTCTTCGGCTAACTTAACGCCCAACATGCAGGCTTCCCTGCCATGTCCGTGAGCATGAAGGCCTTCAGCTCGGGCGAACAACACGTCCCAAGGATCGTCGCATCTTCTAAGAGTCGTGAACATTGTTCCGCCTTTATCCTCGACATTTTCCGGTTTAGTGTCTTTTTGCGCCGGAGCGTTGGCCGCGCTAACATCCTTGCTATTATAAAAGTAAACGTTGTATTCGTCACTGCTGGGTGGCGATTCGGAATTCGACGAAGAACTGGATTCGTCCTTTGAAGGCCTGCGCGAGGTATCTACATCTTCAGCGTAACTTGTGTTTGCTGTTCCGGCCAAGGATTTGTTTAATTTGGCGACGACCTCGGTAGGATTGACAGGGTCAATGGAGTAATTTTGTTGCTGATGGCCGGCAACTTGATAAGTTTGCTTGCTGGTGTCCGTGTCGCTCATATTGTTGGAATGTTGGGTAGTCGACGGAGTGTTGCTCTCCACGCTGCTGCTCGAAGACGATGAATCGCTGCCACCCCCTGGAATAACTACAATACATAACCCCCCCTCTAATAAGCAATTTTCTTCTTCTTTATTACCTTCTTGGGAGTCGTAGTCTTGTTCTCGGTTTGGTATCACGTTCATGTCGTCGTCCACTTCGCAGAAACCCTCGCTGCTGACACTCGATCTGTTGCCGCCGCGATTCAGTTGAGGGGGAGGTGCATATTCGACGGGGTTAAGACTAATAACGTCGCCGAAATCAAACCGAGTCACTCTCGAATGATGGTGATGATGGTGGTGGTGATGGTGATGAGAATGGCTTGTATGTGGATGTTCGCAGTTTAGAAGAGCTTTGCTTGAATTCACTTGGGTTACCTGTAAAACATATTAATTTCGTTCACAAGAATTTGTTTAGTTATCATACTTGTCCTTCTCCTCTGCTATCTGATCCGTGCCTAAAACATGTAAATGGACAATGGTACATGGGATTGATGTCCTGGGTATAAGTGATTCCAGGCATTGGGTAATCATCCCAATCCAGGTAACAAGCTTCAATAGCGGGTTTAAAACCAGTAAAAACTTCTAAATCCATTTTAAGAGAGCTGTTCTTTGAGAAATTTGATTGAGACGATGATGTGCTGCGACATTTACTAACTTTTTCGAGGATTTTCATATGCCATGTAGTAAACTGAAAATAAAATGATATAAAATATAAAAACTAATGTGCAAAAATTAAAGCACCACTTTTTCAAAGATCCATATCAATTTGGATAAATAGTCTAGAGAAAGTTCTACTTTGGATATTTTGTAGCCTAAAGTTTGCCTAACAAGATTGCCAAAGGGCGTCAACGCCCTTCAAACAACACCTATATCAAAAAAGTGGGTTTGAAGATTTTTTACATATACACACATTCTTAACAATTTTTGACTTAAATTTAATGTAATTTACTTATTGTTTTGAATTGTTTAAACTGTTTTATTTTTTGAAAATGTATTCTGGAGAAGTATTTTGAATACTGTACCCTTTGTAGACACAGCAGTATTTTCTCAATACATGGTCATAACTTATGACTCATAAGTCATAATTGGTTGCCTTCAGGCGTTTAGCTAGACCGTCGTAAAAAATAGGATAAGAGTTATGATCCCATACAACTTTACCGTTTTTGTAAAGTTGGCTAACGGGTGTAAGCAGGATACTGTAGTTTATCCTTTACCAGAGTAAGTAACATTTTTCAACACAAGGTGGTAATGCGGTCTGATGTGCTAAATATTTTGAAGGAGATGTTAGTTAACCACCCGGCCAAAGTGACCACAAGCAGTTTCTACGTCTTCTACAGGTATTTGTCTCTGGATGTTAAAGATAGAATTATTGAGCCTGGAGTAAGTAGAAGTTACTTATATACAGAAAATGTTCTGATAGACCACCCCTACACCAACATGTACAAATTTTGTATATAACTCATGACTTAAATTGAGGTGGTCAATAACGAGGTAAAATGGAAAAGGCCGTTAGGATGGGAAATATATAGGTAATGGTATCATAGAGCATAGAAAATTGCGGTACTACAGGTACTCCGAAAGCATAAGTGGATTCCGGGGATCTAGGGGAAAACTCGTGGTTGTAAAACACTATAAAGGATCGATATAGAAAATATCGGCAGACCTTTCTAATAAGGTTTTACAAGGTATTTAAAGCATAAGATTAACCTGTGTTTATTAAGTAGTTTAAAGAGCGTATTTCTGAAACAACTACACCAACGTTGACAAACTTTGGCAAACTGGTTTAGCAAACTTTAGGCTAAAAAAGTTCCAAAGAAGAACTTCCTAGACTATTTTATTTAAATTTTATATAACCAAGAAAAATTGGTGCTTTAATTTTGCACATCAGTTTATTTCAATAGTAAAAATTATTTTTCTTACCTGATTATGTAACATATCCCTTTCATGGGGAGCTAAACCAGGATTTAAGGCTGCCAACCTCCATAGCACAACGACTTCCTCGCACAGCGAAGAGCAAGCGTGCTGTGACGCATGCGTATTACTGTTAACGTTGTTATGTTTACCGCCTCCGCTGCCTCCATAACCTGAATTCCCACTCAACAGGGCAACCTTGGTATTAAACCACCAAACGAGAATTTGCTCGCAAGCCAGACACTCCTCCGTGATAATCTCCAAGAGTGGAATGGCATTGCGATCGTTGCGTTTGAACATCTCTCGGACGATGCTGAGAAGGTTCCACATGCCTTCTGGTTCGCGACCTCGCAAAGGCCGAAGAAGCGAAGTCCATTCTGCAGCTGCTGGTGGTGCTACCGTACTTAGGTAGTTCACATCACTACAATTAGTTCACATTACTACCATTTTTACATGAAATAAATGTGGTTCTAGGGCAACAATATATAAGGGAAACACTGCATAATTTAAATACATGATATAAAAGCTGTTCTTAAATGTATTAACACTTTATTTAAAAAAAAAAACATCAAGAAAATTTTGCATTTTAGTCCATTTTTTTAAGCGACGACCTAGTTTAGAAATGGAATATTTAACCAGCTCACAAATCGTGACCATAGAAGTCTAGGTTGGTGAAATTTGGCAAAATAAAGTTGAATACACACAAGAATTTTAAAAGCATTACAAATGCCGTTGTAAATAAATTTGGGATACAAATATACCCAAATAGCAAAGCGAATTCACATTGCGCGCATTGTAAGCGCAGATGTATAAGGTTTTATACAGACATGCATGCATTTTGCTTAACTGATATACACGCTATAGAACTTTCACTCACGCACTTTGGTTTTTGAAAAAAAAAACAGCATCCCATCAGAAGATTCTATTCCCGTGTAATTCGAAAATATTTAAAATACAGTTTTTAATAAGCAAGGGGTAAACCAAAGATTATCTTTGGGGTAGACCACTGATTTTAAAAGTTAAAAATCGCATACAAATTAACGGCTAAGAAAAACAATCACAAGAAATTTCATATTGATAAGGATTTTTCCTTATTGATAACAACTGATAAGGGAAAATCAGAACACAACGTCCATATAACGTTAACATTGGTCTCGCTAAATTTAAAGTGGTTTACCCCTCGTTAATAAGTGATGTTTATTAATTACAAAAGAAACTTAGGTACATATCTACTGCATTTATGTTTTTGCTGCCTTGTTTTTTCATTTTTATCAAGAAATCGTTGAATTCTACAACTTATGCTCTCAATTCTCCCAATTCTTGAAGTTGCTCTTTGGTCAACTCTTGTTCTCCTTCTAGGCTCTAGGAAATGTGGTACCTAGATTTAGGACATGGTAGGTACCAAGTCCTTTAAAATTTTAACATAATTCAATCATATGACTTATATAAGCTACATGTTTCACTTTTCATAATCACTGATTATTAATCAGTGTCAATGATGATAGACGTTTAAAATTTTATACCAAACACTATTTTTGACAATTAATTAAATTAAAGTTGTTAGCAACAACGCGTACGGATCCATATACGAGTGCAACTCCGTAAACGCACAGCAAGGCGGGCATTCAGTTTTTCTTTTTGCATACATAAATGCGCTCGAACGAATGTTCAATACATGTGTAGCACGCGTTGCTATTTGGGTATATTGTACTTTGCCAACAGCTCTAGCTCACATACATTAAAGAAGACAATGACATCAGGTGGCAAGTCTTCTGACATTCAAATAATTATTTGTTAAAACATTTTATGGAAATCTTGGTGAATGTTGCGTGTTTTTTTTGTTTGAAATACTAGGCCGCTTAAACTTAGGTTCCATTCAGAAATCGCAATCGGAAACGCGTTAATTGTCATTGTAGAATAAATAGAATAGAATTTATTAAAAAACCTTTCGAAATTTACATTTCATTATAGGCTTATCCTTTAAATATTTACATTAATATTTAACATTGCAAAATTTTACACTTATCACAAGAATCGCATTTTGTCAGTCTCAAGTACTTAAGTTGATCCACATAATATTATTTACATATTTAGTTAACAAGAATTTTATCACAGAAATTTTACATTTTATACATTGGTCAGGTGGACAAAGATTGTATCCAAGCTAATAAAAAAAACACACAGTTAGTTTGGGCTACCGTATGTGAAATGATTGAATCAACCAAATTGAAGAGTGTATTTTGGCCTATTATTTGTATGAATTTGACGTGGTGAGTATGGGTTGACCAATCTTTTTCTAAAAAAATAATTTCTTAGGAAAAAATTTCTCACTGGAATAATTTATCTTAAAATAAATTACTTTTATATAACATTAAATTTATTTTTTAATGTGGTGCACAGGGAGCAAAGGATTTTATGTGACTAGTTATTAACATTAATATTTGGTGAATTTTTGACTAAATATTAACATCACCCATTCTTGTTAAAGTAACATGAATTTCACGTCATTCCTCGCACTTTCATTAAAAAAAAAAAAGTAATTTTCGTGTTTTATTTTTGACATTCAAATAAGATCTAGATTTTAACAACAAATTAACATCAATAATTGGTGATTTTTTAACTAAATATAAACATCATTTATATTATATAAAATTAACATGAATATACGTAAAGTGATTTTCGTGTTTTATTTTTGACATTTAAATAACATCATTATTTAAACAACAAATTAACATCAATATTTGGTGATTTTTGAACTAAATATTAGAGCTGTACAATTTAGCCGGTTAAGCTGGCTAAACAAGTTACTTAAGTTAATTAGCTAGCTAACTGATCAGCTTAGCTAATTTAGCTATTTAAATGTCAAGAATAAAACGAAAATCACGTTAACACGAAATTCATTTTAATTTTACAGTTAACCGGTTAACTAAATTAACTTAGCTAATTAGGCTTAACCGGTTAATCTAGCTTAGCTCAGCTGATTAGCTAATGGCTAACCGGCTATTTTATTAAGCTATATAATAATTTCTTATTTACGGACAGGTTATTAAAAAATTTTGATAGTGCTTTTATCAAAAACAATAATAGGTTAAATAGTATTTAACATTCTATTTAATGGCTTTTAAATTCATTAAATCATTAAATAGCTTAAAAAATAGCCGTTTAGCCGGTTAACCGTTATCTAATTAGCCGAGCTAAGCTAGGTTAACCGGTTAAGCCGCCATCTAATTAGCTAAGCTAATTTAGTTAACCGGTTAACTGTAAAATTAACATGAATTTCGTGTTAACTTGATTTCCGTTCTATTTTTGACATTTAAATAATCATGAGTATTTCCAAAGATATATTATTAACATTATTTAAAAAATCGGGGGTAGTAAATAGTTGGTATTTCGGAAAAAATCTTAATACAAAAGAAACATACTGTGTTTCAGTATATTTTGATGATACATTTTTATCAAAATAGGTAACCCGAATGATGGTTTGGTTGAGTTAGTTAGCTTTGGTTATTATGCATATTATTTGGAATCTGTAGTAAGTATGCCTTTTAATAGTTATTTGGTATAATTGAATTTTTATCTAGGCCCCAGATAATATTATAATAATGAGTTATTTTTTTTTGGAGTTTTTTTGCTTAAATAATTTTTAATATTGAAGATGCTTGATAAATGTTTGCTTTGAAATTTTTTGCTTTAAGAAATGTTTGTATCAAAGAAATTTTTGCTTTGGGAATTCGTTGTTTTGAGAAATTTTTGTTATGAGAATGTATTGCTTTAAGAAATTTATGCCATGAGAAATTTTTGGTCCATTTTAAAATATAGAGAAAGAAACTTACATACTTTATCTATGGTTTAAACTTTAAATATTCTTTATTTAAAAACAAATAAATTTCAAGCTAAAATGTCTCTTTATTTGTGACACAAAATATTTGCCCGCCTTTTTCTCGGATTTATAATTCTGTAAAGGGGGTCAGCTTGACCTCTGCGGCGACAAAATGCAACAAAAAGATTGCCTAAAGTGACCAAAATTTAAGAAAATTTAATATAAACGTTTAAAAATGCAATTAATTTAAATTATCCTTTTTATATTAGCTTTAAATCATACCCTTTACATATGCTTTTTTTAAATGATGTAATATTTTTAGTATTTTACCTAAACACCATAGGCGCTGGAACGCAAAACTTGATGAGAATCTTTTTAATGTTGTCATGCAAAGTCTTCTCGTCCAAATACCAAGATGTTTGATCGTTCGCCGAAGCTCCGGCTGTCGGATCTGGCGCTCCACATACCGAATTGATTGCGGACGGTTGCGAACCCAAAAGTTCGTCCAATAAACGCTGCGCTGTGGGCAAAATTTGCTGTGGTAGTTCGCTAATAAGGTACTGCGCGAACTTCTGGAGCTGCTCACGGTGAAGACGCGAAAGGGATTCTGATACTGGAGCCCTCAAAGTCACCCAGTGTGGCTGAAAGTAAACGTTATTTAATTTTATATTTTGTTTATATTTTTCATATACTCGATACATGATGCTTCACTAATTGCATCATCAAAAAGGTGATCCAACTGCTAGGAAAACACTATTTAAAAAAAATGGGATCTTTATAAAAAATAACATAATGTTACCACCTGGTTCAAATTTGATAACATGGATTCCTCCCTAGATGTTCCCTTTTCTATGTCAGTATATGCACATTTTAATTAAAATTATCCTCAAAATACATTGGCATATAAAGCCCATTTTGACCGCTTATTGCATATTTTATCTAAAATCCAGTGATAATGCATATTTTTGATGTTTTCATAATATTTTTGGTAGGGTACCTACTAGCTAGTTACTAAATTGTGCTGATCGCCCTGAAAACTTTTTTTTCGGCAAACAGGCGGACCATTTTAAAGGAAACGTGCGCCACTTAGCTTTACTCAAGCCTACTGCAGCACTCCTCCCATTAGGCAATTTAATTAAGCATGTTTTTTATTTATTTAATTTTGCATATTTTGACACTTTTCGTGTAAAGGGTTTTTTAATAGGGACGACGCGTTTGTTTTTAACATTTCTCGAATAAAAGTGTAGATGGCTTGGCAATTCTTTGACATTATGAAACGTCAGTCTTTAGACTTTTTCTGGTCTATGCCAACAAGCCAGCAAGGTTAGAAGAGCTGCAGGCCAACATTGAACGCGAAATGTTTGGTATTTCGGCCGTTTTGTGCTCGAGTAATGGAAAATTGGGACCAGCGTATTAACTCGTGCCAGCGCTTCCGCGGCCGACATTTAAACGATGTCGTATTTCAAAAATAATGGCATTGATTGTACTTTCATTTGAAATAAAAATCATTTCCATAACTAACCCAAAAGTATTTTAATTGAACCAAGAAAATGCGTCGCTCTTAATGAAAAACCCTTTATATTTTAAGCAGTTTTCATGCAAATTTTAAGCTTGTTGCATATAATCCGGGCTTTAGTGAAAATTACATATTTTAACATATATGTATACATATATTTTAACATACATGTATACTAAATGAAATTGTATCAAACCAAATTAATTTATATGATAATTTATAATATTATTCCGAGAGAGTGTGCTAATGTAGGTATAATTAAAACGAGAGTAAATTTATTTCATATTTTAATGTTCTTTTATTGTAATTTAATAATAAAAAAATTAAACGTCAATTACGTGCATGCGGCAGGAACATCCCAATAAAATTACTTAGAGCTACAACCCGTAAAATTCGGAAATAACGGGCCCTTAGACAAAGTAATCATCATTGTCTAAGAACGGGCCTTTCTATTGAATTATTTATCAAGTATATGAGTGTGAAAGTTTGGTGCACTTAGTTTTTTCTATGACCCTTAAAAAAATTGTACACAGCCGCTAGTAAGGAACTGTAAGAGCAATTTTCCATGATTACTAATCACAGTACAATTGTATGTAATTACGCAAATTAATAGAGATCTGCAAAACAGTTATTCCCAGGCATTTCGTCGAACGTTTAGTGCTTATGGCGCGACAGAAGACGTTTACAAGAGATTTTTTTATTTGCAAAAATATCTACTGTATGAATAAGAAATATATATTTGGGAGTTTTAATCTAAAATTTAAAATTCTTCCACTTTTTCTTTTGAACTAATAGCAGATAATATCAAATTTAAAAATAAAATAAATAAGAGATGAATTTAATAAAATGTTAAATTTATATTATATTAGGTATATAGGTTTTTTATTTCTAATAACTTTTTTGTTGAAGTTTATTTCTAAAAGATAGAAGAAGTTTTAACATTATGCTCGTTTCAAGCCGGATTAAATAGCAACAAAAACGTTTATTGAGTATGAGTATGAGAAACAACATCCCTCACACTGACTTTACCAGAGTTATTTTTACCCTTTCAGTTCTCCTGGGTATCCCGCAACTGTCCAGCATTATATAGATATATAGGGATACCTATTTAAATCTCCCTTAGATCACGGTTAAGAACCCTCCCGGAATTTTGTCGCCCGATTAGGCTAGTGGAGGGAAAACCTTTTGGTTTTTGAGGGGCGTTAGATCGACCAAAAACTAAGTATAATCCGGATTTCCCCTCAACCAGGTATTTAGTAAAACCCACATTCAACAAAAAAAATACGAAAACGGAGGTGACGGTGAAAAAAGGGTATGAAAAGGGTTTATAAATTTTAAATAAAACATGGTTTTCAGTAGTATTAAAATCAGAGTTGCAAAAATGTTAATGTAAGAAATAATTCAATCGTCATTTTTATATTTAATGGTAATGTAGTTTGAATAAATTAATTATTAAAAAAAATTAATGAGAAATATTTTCATTACTCATTAAAAAATTAATGAGTAATGTCGAACAATACATTACTCATTAGAAAATAAAATGAGTAGTGCATTACAAATTAAAAAATATGTGTAACGAAAGACATTACCCATTACATCAGTGAAATATGATCAGGGGTGGGGGTTGATGGGCTCCTTAAACTTTTTTGTTATCATCACAAATTATTTAAAATAAAAAAGTTGCAAAAAAAATTAAACTTTTCCTTCAATAAAGGTTACTATAAAAATTAAAAATAAATAATAAATTATTTCTGCTCACAAAGTCCATGCTTTTTATAAAAGATCAATTACACTTTTATCTATTGCAAACCGTGCAAAAATTAAAAAAAGTATAATGCAATAAAAATATCTTCCTTGCCCACTAAATGTTTAATTCGATACTCATTCATTTCTTTTTAAAAATAAAAAAAGAGTAATGTAAAGTGTTTACTTTTTACTCATTTACATAAAAAAATTAATTGAAAATTTCATATTACTCATTATAAATTAAAAATAAGTAATGTAAAAAAGAATACATTACACATTGGAAAAAATTTTCATTAAAAAAGAAGTAATGCATAATGAAAATTATACTCATTACCCATTATTTTAATAATGAGTATTAAAACCTTAATGCATTAGAAAAATAATGCATTATTTGAAACTGATTAAAATATTTAAGGATTTATAATGTAGACCTTTGTGAATTATGTATGGAACAGCAAATCTGGTACACGCGTACTTGTTAAAATTGTTTAAAAAAATGTTCCTGAGTTTTCTGTGCCCAAAATGCTACAAGCTTGCTATTATGAAAATGGGCCTCGTCGCTAAAGATAATTCTGTACAAAATATCGGCATTCACTTCTTAATTTTCAATGTCCACTTTTTAAACTCTCTTCGATGTGCGTGGTCTGTTGGCTGAAGTTCTTAAGTCAATTGAACATGGTAAACATGAAGATGCAAATATTTAGTGAGAATACGCTGAAGAGTAGCTGTTAAAATGTCCAAATCTTGTACACGATGACGAATCGAGGTCCCTGGACTCTCCGCCACACTATCGCGAACTTTATTCTGAACGATCACTACTAGCTGGTGTTATGTGATTCACATCCATGTCTTAACCAATAATTATTTATTTTACACTTGATAAATTTGTGAAATTATTTTTTTTTAATTGGACGGACTCTACGAATCGTACCAACCCAACTTTCACAATTTTGATAGTAATGTTTAATATGTACGCGTTTTTTATTTATTAAACACTCGCTCTGCAAGCGTCGCTTATTAAAACTCGTAACTAAAATGCCGTTCATAAAACTTGTTGCATAATATAATATTAAGAGCAACAAGTATAATTTCAAAAAATTAATTTAAATAACTTATCAAAAAAGTAAAGTAAGTAAGTAAAATTGTGAAATTCTAATGATAGAGTTTACTTAGTTTACCAAATTAGATAAAAAAAATATTTTTTCATTGAATATACATATAGGGTTTTATAATATTAAAAAAAAGGTTATCCAGTATATTATAATAATTATTATTAGAATTCTAAGTAAAATTGTGAAATTCTAATGATAGAGTTTACTTAGTTTACCAAATTAGATAAAAAAAATATTTTTTCATTGAATATATGTATAGGGTTTTATAATATTAAAAAAAAGGTTATCCAGTATATTATAATAATTATTATTAGAATTCTAATGATGATAATACAACATTAGTAGAAAACAAATATGGAGAAAAAATAATTATGAACTGTTGTACATATAGGGTCAAAGATTGTTAATATTTAAACTTTCGTTATTCTTCTCTAAAACTAACTTCTCTTTGTGTACGGTTGTAATTTTTGTTTTCAATCTCTGAAGACGCACAAACGTATTGGAAAGCATTGAACCCGACTTGACCCTGTCGTGTGCAGCGGGCCCGGTTATCCCAAGGACACGCTCAACGGGTAATGGTCATTGAAAAAGGTAAACTTCTTCTGCTTGTACTACTATCTGCGGCCAGAACGAAAACGAAAAAAAATAACGGCCGTTCAAGCGAGAAAGGCCAAAAGCCTGCAACCATAACAAACAAAGCCACTACGAAAAAAATATAAATCTGTCTGGAGGCTTTTTTGTTCGTTAATTAGGTCAATAAATATACCTGAAGCAAGAATTTATCAGAGTTCATGCCTTAGAAGGTCGATCAGATTGTTGCAAGGCATAAACAGGCCATGTTTACACGGTAAATTAAAGGCACATTTAGCGAAAAACAACGAGCGCCAAGATAACGACACTCGTTGAAAGCCAAATGAATATGCAATTTTACCTAAGAAACCGCTTACAACGTCGCGACGTTTGGACACTTTTCTCTTGGGAGACAAAAGCTTATTAGAGCAAAAACAACGCTTTGCTACATTACAATTTAAATTAAACCTTGGACAAAATTAATATTTAAAAGGAAACCTATTTGAAGATCTAAAAACTTAACCAAAAACAGGTTCTGTAAGCTTATCTTAAAAAGTAGTAGCCAAAAAAATTTTGTAAAAAAAATATTATTTCATAATTTAATTTTCTTTTTTAAATACTACTGAAATAATATGTTTTCTTAAAAAAGTGTATAATCCAAAAAAGAAAAAAAATTAATGCCGCGCTCTAATTGGTT